GGGGTCCGGAGGGACTTGAAAAGCGCTCTATAAGTTCAGTACCATTTACCATTTACTACAGTTTGTCAGGCAGGCACGGCTTCTGGGCAAACTGACATTCGTCATTCATTCAGATTCAGATTGCTTTTATTGTCATTCAAACATAAAATCATGCATGCAATGTAGAACAAAATTGCAGTTATGAACACCCATTCAAGAAATCACAAATGACAAAAACCTGGGGGAACAGGTGAACAGGTCATGCGCAATAGGGTCGCGCTACCTTTTTGCAACTGGGAAATACACAATAGGAAAGATGAGTGAAAAAAAATTCTCTGATCTTATATTTATGTCAGAAACATAAAATCATATGCACAAAAAAAAACCCACTCGCTACAAAGCAAGACAGCTGGGGCGGGGAGCTTGGGTCAGGTAACACATGAGATGGGGCGGGGTTCAGTGGAGCCGGTGACATTAAGGTTGAATCTCCGTGCCAGAATCTGACCTGACCCGCCAGAGTCCAGAGTCCATGATGTTACCGTTTCCTGCTCGGTTCACCAGAGTTCAGAGTTTCCTCCCCTCGGCCTTGGGTTCACATGCCAGGTCCAACACAGGTGATGGGGGTGGGAGGAAATCAAGCCCTTGTTGACATATCATCCTTGGGGAGTTTAGATAGCATGGCAGTTGAGGCCAAGCAGCTGGGAGTCAAATAGATAAGAACACTTGTTTTGGGACAAAGCAACCTTGAATTTTCCTGCTGCTTTTTTAATGTCTTAACTGCATCTCTGAAGTGGCATAAAAAAGGTTCCAATAAGCGAATTTGGGGTCCTCTTGCCTCTCACCGTCTGGATCTTCACCCAGATATAATCCTACATGCCAGAGGCATGCTCCTGAGCTGCAATTCTCGCCAGAACCACATCCAGTTCGCAATTTATCTCCCCCAACAACTGAGTCTGTGTGCTCCCAGAATGGCAGAATCCATCCACTGCACCCAACAGCTTCTCAATGGCCCGGACCGCTGACAGTATCGCTTTCACTTTTCGATAGATCAGGAATCCGCCTCCTCCGATCAGCAGAGATCCAGTTATCATAAATCCAAATACTGTATATTCAAAACTTCCATGTCTTCAATGGAAAGTGGTGCCAGACACATCAGGTTCCAGCTCCCCCAAGAACCACTGATGCGCCCCGCAGCAATCATTCCACTCTGACAGCTTTGTTCCCCTCGTTCTAATCTTAATGTGGAAAAAATAGTGTCAAAATAGTGAAAATTCATTCAGAGCCAGTTGACCAAATCCATAATTACTTTTTGTTTCGGATGGTAGGTAGAAAAAAGGCTTGAAAGAGCAGCAAAGGAGGGTGGGGGTGGGGGGTGTATGCGCAGGTTCAGGAGAGAGCAAAAGCACGTCCAACTCCTCTGAAGGCTGAAGTGATGGTAAATAGACTGTACTTATATAGTGCGTTTCTATCCATCCAGGACACTCAAAGCTCTTCACACTACAATCTGTGTCCTCATTTACCCATTCACACNGTCTGATATGGATTCCTCCAAGTCCATCTCCCACTTGCCCTTCAAAGAAACTAAATTGGAGTCAGAAAATGAGCTGAGCAGAGAATAAACTCTGCTCATAGAGCGTTTCGTTGTCCGGTGTGGTTTATATGTTAGTATTCGCGGGTTTTTTATTTTAAATGGCGGGTGCGGTTTATAGTCCGGTGTGGCTTATAGTCCGAAAAATACAGTACACAGGCTCCGCAAGGCGAGGGTGAGTGGATGGCGATCTGCCAAAATTAGATTTATTCCTGTTTTTGCTGGACGCCAGAGCTTCTCCGGAGTCAATCTACAAAGATCACGTCGCACCAACAGGAAATGGAACAAGCACAACTTTCGTATTTTCAAAATAATTCACCAAAAGCAGACTTAATTTTGTTGAAATCCCAGCTATATTAATAAATATATGGATATATTTCCACACAAACGCAGTCAAAATGTATCATTCTGTTCGGGAAGTAGATGGCAACATGTAGCGTGCAGCATATGTAAACACGCACGATACTGTGGACTTTATTTTTAAATCAGAAGTTTCAAAAAGACAACAGCGATGCAGTTTCAACTGTTTGAAAGTCTGTCTTCCACGGAATAAATTATTTTGTTCTGACTTTCACATTTATCACTGGATTTATCGCGMAATCTCGCATTTTCTGCATTTCCCGCAAACGCTTTTCTTGGACCTCTGTGCTTCCACAGCGGACTGGACGCTGTATAAATTGGGGTGCAAACAAACAGCGACGAACTGTGCACCGCAGCAGAGTGGAGCAGAACTGCATCTGCATGTAGTGTAAATTAGGGGTAAGAAGACAAAAAGAGCAGCAGTAACTGCTCCATCTCCTCATTTTGACACGAATGGCTAAGATAGCACAAAGTCGCTTGTGTAAAATTTTTTTATGAAAAATCCCCAGTAAAACTATGGTTTGAAGATTGACTAAGTATTCACAAAAAATAAACAGCATTATGTTCTTTGTCAAAATTATTACTGAAACAKATTCAAAATGTTAACAACTATGATCAGATTTCTAAAATTCTGATAAAGCCACATAAAAGACAACTTCGAACTCACCAGGATTTTTATCCAGCTGAGAAGCCAGCCGAGTGTTGGAGTGATCAACTCTCTTGGTGCTGGAGAAAAAAATACATTAAAAAAATCTATTTAAAAATTAAAATTACATGAATATTTAATTAGCAGGCATTATAAATTATTTTTTCATATTTTCTTATCCCCAACACATACTTATAGTCCCTCTCCCAGAACTTGACAGGGCGGATGTAGGAGGTGATGAAGATGGCACTGCCCAGGAAGGGGTTGAGAGGAGTGGAGAAGACTGCGGACACTACAGCCTGGACAAAAAGCATGGCCGAATCTGGAGGAGCTCAGGTCAGGGTTAGTAGATCATGTTATGCTGAAAAGCATTCTTTTTTTTGTGTCACTTCAGTGGAAAACAAAACCAAATATTAGTTTATTTAGTTTATTTATTTCTTCATCATCAGTGACCTTTTTTAAGTGAAGAGAAAATAGAGACAGAGAGAAAAACAGAGAGAGAAGTAATTAGAAAGATTGAAATAGTGATTAGAAGTATATTAAATTGATAGAGTTTTATTGGATTTATTAAACTTCTTAAGGTGTTTCAAAT